GTACGTACGTACGTACGTACGTATGTACGTACGTTCGTATGTCAGCATTTTTTTCGTTTTCGATATCTCAAGAACGGATTGAGATATCGCCCTCAACCAAAATTTTTTCGAAAGATATTATCATAATGAAGATCTGAAAGAAATTTGAACGAAATCGGTCAAGCCGTTTTTTTTTTATAAAAAAAAAAACGAATTAATTACAAACAATTTAATTAAAATACGTTCTAATCTAATCACAACAATGAAGTTACGGAATCAATAATAACGAAATATCATTATTCAAGACAGGGAATAACATATTATAATAACATATTATAATAAAAATTTGTTTATAACAAAATGAATTGTTATAAACAATCGATAAACAATAAAAAATAGTATTTACCAATTGACTGATGCAAGTACTCTATCAATTCGGTTTTCTCAGACGAAATACTGTTTCTTATGGGTTTATAAAATGACGAACTCTCAAACATTGTTTGTTATTTATTATTGTGCCGCGTTTTTTTCAAACTTTAGAAACGAATGTACTTTACAATAACTGTATTATCTAATGGGAAGTTAGTCGTATTAGCACCGACCAAAATGTGCTCAGACCAATTTTTTTAGTTTTTATTTTTTTTTGTATATAACTGTACAACATGTAATGTATCTTGTAATTTCTATTTAACTTCAAATTTTGTGTTACAAACAGCTTTGGGCCTCTTTATTACACCCTTCAGGTAAGTACCAAATGTTGGGAAAGTCCGAGTCCCTAACTAAATCACGCCGGACTTTCTCTGGGTACCTGAAGGATGCATAGCAACAACAGCAGCATTGACCAAGGGGTCTGTTACTTAGAGGCGTGTCCTATTTTGGTGAAGACTAATTAAGTCCTGGACCAAGAATTCATTCATATTCAATTACAAATTAAAAGCAACGTATTCATTACAATTATTCAAATTCAAACAAACTCAATATTAATATTCAAACATTATTGCAATTTGCTTAAAACTAAATTATTCAACTTTACAATTCAGCTTCAACAAATCAATTTATATCAAAATCAAACAATTGGTGTAAATAGTGTAAATAAAGTGCAAAAAGAAAAGCAGTCTATTAATTCGAAGTATATCACCAAAAGAGCCTTCGGCTGGATACCGCCACATACAACATCAACAACAATTACAACAACACACATCAAACACTATGTTTTGATTCAAGTATACATGATTGGGTCCAAATTTAGGCGTGATCCAAGTAGATTCAATTAAAAGTAGAAATAGGAGACTGTGATAAATAATAATTAATTAAAAAATTAAAAAGAAGACTCACCTCTAATTACCACGAAAACTTTTTGAG